CGCCTGGGTGGCTCAGTGGGTTAAAGCCTCTGCCTTCAGCTCAGGTCCTGGGATCGAGCCCCACATCGGGCTCTCTGCTCAGCAGGGAACCTGCTTCTCTTCCTCTCTCTGCCTGTCTCTCTGCCTGCTTGTGATCTCTGTCTGTCAAATAAAATCTTTTTAATAAATAAATAAAAATAAAAAAGAATATATGTATAGAATGCTGTGGGAACACAGTGATTAATGGTCTGAGAAGATGCATCAGTGATATGTCAGAGAAAACATGATTTTACCTGTAGCCAAGGTAGGCAGGAGAGAGCATTCTAGGTAGATAAAGCAGTTTTTGCAAAGGCATAAAGTCAGGTTAAGACAGAGTGTATAAAGGAAATATAATTTGGTACAATGAGAATTTGGTGCATATGGGGTAGTGAGCAAGACAGAAATATGGAAATGTAGGTCAGATTTTAATTGTCTAAGATCTTGGTGTCCTACTGATGTGATTACTGTATGATAGGTACTTGGGAATCAGTGAATGCTTTTAAGGCAGGGCAATCAGTTAAATGTGTTTCTCTTGAGCAAAACATTTGGGGGGCTCATGGGCTCATTTGAAAAGGTAAGAATGGTAGCAGGGAGATCAGATTGGAGAGTATTATATTAGCTTAGGCAAAGTGGGAGGTTAAGAATGGAGATTTGGGGGATTCATGCAAAGATGTTTAAGATGCATTGTGGTCAGGGCTTCACAAACAAGGATATTGACGAGGCAAGGATAGCCTAACGATGGCTTGGGGAGGTAAAATCTCATTATTCAGTCTAGGGGATAAAGGAAAGATAAGGAGGAGGTTTGGAAATAAGTTCAGTGTGGAATTTGAGCTTCTTACAGGATCCAGGATAAGAAATGGCTGGTAGACAGTTGTGTCTAGGTTTGAGTCATCAGTAAATTGGTGGTTTTTTGAAACATTAGGGGGATATGGTACCCATATGGGTAAGGTGTATAATGGGCAGAGAATTCTTTGAGGAGTGCTGTGAGGTTCTGGATGGGTGGTTTTGAAAGCTTTTGATGCTGAGATTAAGCATCTGTGAGAGCCCTCCTTCTCTGTTTTCCTCCAGTGTTGTTCCCTCCTCTTGGTCATCTTGTGCTCTCTTCCATCATCCATCATGTGGTGAGTGTAATGTCAAGCCTTCCCTTTGAGGACCTCAGACGTGAATCATTCCTGACTGCTTGCATGATTGAGAGACAGCAGCTTTTACTGCTGCTTTCTGGCTTTTAATGAACATTCAGACACAAGTGTAGTAGATGTCCTAAGTGTAACTATGTGGAGTTTTTGTTGGGTTGAGGGAGTCGGAAGAGGATGGGATCAGAGGCCAAGAATCTTTTCAATTAATGGTCCCATCTTTGGCATTGGGGTAATTTGCAAAAGGATTCCATATGAAATCACTTCCCAGCAATGGAGAGGGATCCAAGAAATCATATTTGAGAGAGGATTGTCAAAAACCAGAGCCCAGATCTCTGCAGACCAGATAGTTAAGTTGCCCAGTAAGCACAGCCTGCCTGATAGCTGGGGGACCAGAGAGAAACTCCCAGGACTGTACTACACTCAAGGCCAGATGGAAGGAGTAGGAGGCCTTCTGGTTCTTAGTGATGGCTTTAGGACCTTCGTTCCGGGTTGATCAGCTCCACTTTTAGGGAAGTAGATGGGGCCTGTGTGTAATTTAGTCAGGCTTTTGAAACACTCTTTCTAGAAGCCACTTTAGAGATCTTTCTGTTCCTATCCAGTCCTTCCTTCTCCAGTCTCCACCCTTTTTTTCTTGACAGAACGAAGTGTGGTGCCTTATTTAGAACTAACACCGAAATAAGTATTTTTGTTCTTTCTACTACCAGAGGTGGTCGCAACTCCAACACAGAATATACTGAGCTTTTATTATTTTCAAGCCTCCTTCTTACTTCACCTTTTAATTGATGTACACAGGCTCACATGTTGCAGAATTTAGGTTGAATTGTGTAGTGTTTCTGATAAGCTCAATTTCTGCTTCTGGATTCATACTGCCCTGAAAGATAAAAAAAGTTCCTCCTTGAATAATGTTTTACATTTTGTGTTCCAAAGGACATTTACTAAAATCCCGGGAGAGAGAAGCATTAGGTTGGTATATCCTGCTTTCTTTGTCAGGACTCTTTCCAGCCAGCCTGTGCTCCTGAGTTCTGAGGCACTTGGGCTCTGGGACGTGGTCATTTCTGCTTATGTAACAGAGGATGGAGTTTGCGTTTGTTGTGCCAAACAGTGTGTGGTTACCAGAGCCACCCATTACGCTTAAAGTCATTCCCTTTCTGAGCTAGAAAGACTTGAAACCTCACCTCGGGTAATGTGAAGATACTTCGGCCTTCCCTGTTATATTCATATCTGGTCATATTCTAGCCAGATGCCCTGGAGTCCAGATATGCCCCTGATGAAGGCTGACAGCAGGACGAGCTGCTAGAGGCAGTAAGGTCTGGCTGTCTCCCAGGCCCTCCGCCCACATTTCATTGTGTGCTCTCATCTGGCTGCTGTTCACATAGTTTCCCGCCCGAATCCTCCATTGGCTGATGATGCCCCATAGGAGCCAGTGGGTGGAAAAGGCAAGCTGATTATTACAGAAACCCTGGGAAAACATTGTGGGGTTTTTTTGTTTTGTTGGGTTTGTTTTTTTTTTTTTGCCTATCAGAGTGCTTTCCCCCTCTCTGATGGGTTCCTGGAATCTCAGGAAGACCACTTGCATGACAGCTAGATGTTCTCTGCCACATGGGAGATCTCGTTACGTTTCTGGGACCATTGGTCCAGGCTAATTCGGTCTTTTCTGGTGTGGAAGGATTTTTAATTGGCAGTAGGCATTTGAGAAAGTTATCTACACTGGTTTTAAAAGTTACATATTATAGAGAGGCTGACATTTTAAATGGGACTTTCCTGGAGTTGGGGAGGTTTTTCATGTCCGTGTCCGTCAGGTGCTGTCCTTCACTCTGACTCTGGCTCCAGGTATTGCTCGGCATTGGGCCTTAGGAAGTGTTAGCGGGTTTCTGAAATCATCTCTCATGCCATTTGCAGACCACAGACCAAGGAGGGATACGTGAATTTCAAGTACTCCCTTGAGCACTTCCTTTGGGTAATGTTTCCATGATGTAAGTCTAGGCACCTTTCATTTGAGCCTTTCTTTTCTCAGTCCCAGTTGCTCAGCACTCAAAAGGACCACAAGAGCTAGACAGAACTCAGTGGGCTGCACTCTGTAACTGTGTCTTTAATGCCCTACCACCCTCACCAAGTCAGAGATTAAATTAGAAAGCTGTTACATAGGCACTAGGCTTACTTACTAGCTTTCTGAACACATACCCCATTCAGAGGGAAGCCGAACACTCCTCTTTACACAGCGCCCTTACTGAGAGCCTGGCCTCTCCTGTAGAGCCAGGAGCCTTGAGACGGCTGTCCTACCTCCAGGGGCTTTCTGGAAGCCTTCCTGTTGCTCCTCATTTCTGAGAGCAGCTGAGGGTGTGTCGAAGTTTCCTTGGCTTATTCAGGCCCTTCTTGAGCCCTTGCTACCTGAGGTCTTACCGTGAAGCACAGCGGCCCACTCCCCTACTGGAAAAAATAACCACAAAACCCCAAAGCAAAACAGTAGGAAACAGAGTTCCAGTGTGCTTTTTGGTCCTGTTTCCTGAAAACAGGTCGAATCTGTATGTTCTGAATCTGTATGTACTCTGCCCTCCCCTTCCCGCTCCCACAGCCACAGAAAGTAGAAAAATGGAAAATATGTGAGGTTTTTATAACAAATCAGAGAAGCAGATTTGTAGCAGCCCAAAGCCAAGGGAGTGCCACCTTTCTCTGGAGCCAGTCCAGAGCAAAGGGAGCTGAACAGCTCCTCCATCACCAGTGCCTTCAGACTGTTTATGGAAATGGAATAATCAGCACTGGGGGATGGGAGGGGAGTTGAGAAATTCTCTGCTCTCAGCAGCTAGCGGAAACATGAAGTACCTATAATAGCAACTGCGGTGTCTGTCCGTCTGAAAGCTTTCCGAAGGGAATGCTTGTAAATCTTTTCTGTGGAAAATTATGTTTACTAGTGAGGGGCTTGATGGTTGGTGGTGGGCAGAGGTGTGGGGAGATGGCCCTGCGTGGCAGGTGCTCTGAATGCCAGGGCTGCCGGCCCCCGGCCTCTCAGCAGTGGCTGCTGAGGGGGAGCTTGGCAGCCTCCTCTCTAGCACAGCGGGGAAGGAGTATTTTTAGGTTTGTTATCATCTTACCAGCTTGGGACAGAGTATTTTCTGTGTCTTTGCATCGATTCATCTGTTCACTGACTTGGATGGCCCTCGTCCCCGCGGCCCACCTCCTGCCCCCCGTACCATGACCTGTCTTTAGTCTTCACATTCCTGAGCTGGAGATAGCAGCCCGCAGGGAGCCTCTGCCGAGGGCTGAGACTCTTCCCTACGGTGCAGCCATACTGCCTTCGGAGGAAAGATGACGGGTACCCAGGGGGAGCGTAGAGGCCTGGATGAGGACCGTGGTGTGGTCTGACTGTCCAGTTACGTGGTGAAAGGCCTTCAGAACAGAGCATTCTGCCTTTATCCTGGAATCCTCGAATGTCAGAGCCGGGAGAAGTAGAACTCCCTGAGCCCAGGCCTCCTTGACAGTGTGCGTCCTGACGCTCAGAACAGGGACCTGAGAGGTCCATCAAACAGCACGTTCCTCTGCAGAGAGGGTGACTCTGAAACAACTGGAAATGCTAGGAATATCAAAGATGTAATTTTAACTTAGGGCAGAGAACGTGGTTCAGAGGAAGGACGCCACAGCCAGGTGACAGGATTGAAACATGAGGTGAGACTGGGGGTAACAGCAGCCAAGCTGACTCCCAGCCATGCCCGCTTAGGATTCTAAGTGGATCTTAATACCATGAGTCAGGTGTCCCAACTGGGGGAAAGAAAGGAGCGTTCTGGAACATCAGGACATCACTGACCTGACCTCTTGTGCCAGCACTGTTAACGTTTTCTTTTCCATTTCTAGACCTCAAAAAAGCCTAAGACGGCAGAAGCGGACACCTCCAGTGAGCTGGCTAAGAAAAGCAAAGAAGTATTCAGAAAAGAGGTAAGGTTTGGTGGGTATGGGCCCTAAGCTCCACAGGCTTAAGCCTGAGCCCTTTCCTTTCTTGTCCTGAGTGTTAGGCTGCCCTGCATTTGGGTCTTTCCTTGCTTTTGTGGTGTGACTGTATGGTCGCCACGTGAGGGGGGCCCACCGAAACGGTCCTTTGTAGGTGGGTGGTAAGCACTTTCATATCCATTGTCATTTCATCCCTGTAGCTGCTCCTGAGGTAGGCAAGACAGGAACTGTTATCTTATGCAGGTGGAGGACCTCTTAAGGTTCAGAGAAGGTAAGTTCTAGACAGAAGACCTGAACTCCAGCCCTCTGGCTCAAAGTCCAGTTCTGGTCCTGCAGCCTTTCATTTGGTGGCTGCCTTATCCTCAGGGGATGGGAGAAAGCAGCTGCTCTTCATGCTACTGGCAGTGTGTGTCTCCAGCTGTCAGGACACCAGCCTTGTCTGTCTCAGGGCATCTAGATTCTGAACCCCAGTCTTGATTCACTGACTGTTGGAGGAAACAGACCTCTGAATAAGGAACGGCAGCTGTGTGCCGAGCGTGCCGTCTAGGGGCTGGAGGCCACTGTTCGGGGCGTCAGGAAGGGCTGTTGAGTCGGGCGTAGGAAGGGACCAGGTAGATTGGGAGGGATGGAACTTCAGGCAGTAGAACGTGCAGTAGCAAAAGAAATCATCTTCCCTTTGAGGGAATTGTAAGTGGTCCACAGGCCGTAGCGCAGGGCGTGTGCAGGGTGTAGGGAGATGAGGCCAGCCAGTGCGGCTGCTTCATCCAGGGCCTGTGTGTCGGGCAGTTACCGGGCACCCGTGCAGGGCTGGAAGCCAAGAAGAAGGGATTCCCTGACTATTTGGGGAAGTGGACTGAAGTGAGAGAGTATGGGGGCCAGAAGACCATAGAAAAACTAAGTAAAAGCCCTTCCCAAAGCTAGAATTGAGTCTGTGGTTGTCCCGTGTGAACTTAACTGGCGTTTCGGCTCAGCCGTCCAGCAGCGGCTAGCTCAGTGCCCGCCTTGTGCTGACAGCCTTGTCCTTTGACCTTGTCCTTCGAACGTCGGCTGCATTCTGGAGTTCCAGGGATGGGGAGACCCTGTTTATGGTGCTCCCTGACAAAGTGGCGATCACTGACCTCTTTGCTTCCTCTGTACTCTGGGATCTTAGCACTGCAGGGGCTTTGAGAGGTCCTGTGCGGGGGTCTCTTCCGAGAGCCACTGGTAGGCTAGACACTGTAGAGACAGCTCAGGAGGACTCTGGGTATGGGAAAGGGTCCGGCCCCGGGCTTCTCGCACCGGCTAGCTCACCAGGCCTATCGTGCTTCCTGTTGCTGCAGTGGGGGTCTGGTGACGTGTAACAGCAGATCTAAGTGACCTTCTGCAACAAATGCCTGTGTTCGTGGCATGGCTGAGCCTGCTGCTAGCACGGGAATGTTTTCTCTGCTCCGCCTCCAAGGCCATAGTCTCTCCTCATGCCAAGGATGGGAGATTTGTTAGCGGAGACCCGAGGCTGCCATGAGATTCAGCGGTGCGGTCCCTTGCCCGGGTCTGCTCCTTCTGCTCTATGTCCGGCTTGCTCGTCTATCCAAGGCAGCTCTGTCCCTCTTGGGGCTGACCTAGGATCCTTTTATCTTCTACCCCACTGGCCTCATAGCATTCTTCTATCCAAAACCAGCCAACCTGAGTGGCGGAGCGGGAAGGATTGGCTGTCTCATTGTGTCCTCAGCGTAACCCCTTGCCCTCTCCAGACTTGTGAGCAGCGTGTGCTCTTTCTCCTGCCTGCAGATGTCGCAGTTCATCGTCCAGTGCCTGAACCCTTACCGGAAACCCGACTGCAAAGTGGGAAGGATCACCACAACTGAAGACTTCAAACACCTCGCTCGCAAGGTACCCCCTCTGCCCAGATGATGTTCTGGGCAAACCGCGTACCTTTCATCATAGAAAATGGGTTTTCCTTGCCAGAGGCCGGGGCTGGGGCCCCAGGGAGAGGGAGGGAAGGTTAGGAAAGGGAGGGCACCTTGCTGGAGGGTAGGCCTGGTGGGCTTCTCACAGACTCGCCCAGCTTAGCCTCCCCTTTCTGCTGACCCCAGCCCCAGCTGGCCCCAGCCTGTCTCTTTACTCAGCCCCAGTCTTGGGGAGAAGGGCCCCGTGGCACCGGGCTGGCCTTATCCCCTGATATCCTTTCCACTCTGGTCTCTCTTCCTGTGTCCTGGACAGCTGACCCACGGCGTGATGAACAAGGAGCTGAAGTACTGTAAGAACCCTGAGGACCTGGAGTGCAATGAGAACGTGAAACACAAAACCAAGGAGTACATTAAGAAGTACATGCAGAAGTTTGGGGCTGTTTACAAACCCAAAGAGGACACTGAATTAGAGTGACTTGTGGGGCCAGGGTGGGAGGATAGGTGAGCAGGTGGGACAGGCTCGGCAGAAGTACCCTGCGGGCCCGCTGCCCCCCCCCCCCCCCCCCCCCGCCTTCTGTCAGGGCTGTGCTACTGGTGACTCGTCGCCCTGGGGAATTCAGACCTGCAGATTTCAGCTGAAAGCCACGAAAACGAGCCCCCGCTACAACAAGCGATCCCTGGTCATGAGCTGTTGGGGTGTGGTTGGAGGCCCATCAGAGGCAAGGGCTTAGGGAAGGACCCCGCTAAGATCCTGGCCAGGCCTAGCCCCACTCCCAAACCTGGGTCTCCTCCTTGGCGGTGCTGTCAGCGCACAGACCCATGCGCATCCCCACCCACGACCCCTCACCCTGACGATCTGTATAATATTTTAATGTATATGTGAATATATTGAAAATAATTTGTTTTTTCCTGGTTTCGTTTGTTTTTCATTTTGCTTTTAGCCTCTACATGCTAGATCACAGGAAGACTTTGTAAGGACGGTTTTAAGTTCTCCTGCAAGGTTTAATTTGTTATCATGTAAATATTCAAAAGCAGGCTGCCTTGTGGTTTCGGCCAGCCTTGTGCTATGTTGATAAGATTGATTTACTGCTTAAAATCACTTTACTTTATCCAATTTTTACTGAACTTTTTATGTAAAAAATAAAATCAATTAAAGAACTTGGCATGTGTGTTCCCTAAAAGCTAGTCAGGCATATTTGTAAATAGTAGTGTCACTGGAGAGAGAGAGGAGAGATGGTGGCCGTAGTTGTTTGAAGCTCAGAGTTAATCCTTGAGCTTGGAGTTCTCCACAGGTCTCGCTGTGACTGACACTTGTGGCCTTGGGATCTTATGTGTGTGTTCAGGGTGGGCTCAGCTTGTGCTACCTGTATTCCAGAGCAAAAGAAGCGGATCCGAGGGCCTCATTGGCTCTGGCTTCTTCACTTTGGTTCATAGGTCAGGCAGGAGATGGGCACGAGTCTTCCCCTTTATACCTCCTATCTGAGGATAGCTGCACTGACCCTCTTCCCTCCAGAACTTCAGTTCCCCAAGCTCACTGGAATGCTCCTTTGGTGGGCAGGTTCCCTGCCCTCCCCCACCAGGCACCCTGACACTGGGGTTGGGCACTAGAGGAAGGACCCGTGTAAGGGTGTATAGTGCCCAGGCTGTGATTAAAAAGTGGACACCGGGAGGAGGTGGGGTTCAGTGTCGTCCCCCGCCCCCTCCCCGCCCTCCACTTTAATGGACCAGTTGCCTAGGCTGCAGGCTGGTCTGGAGCCATCTTTGCAGAGATTGGTCCCATCTCTTCCTTTCCAGGGCTGTTTTGCTCCCTGCAGCCATGCCCTTGGGGAAGGGGCTGTGGCCCGCTGAGTCCTGGGCAGGGTGGAGGGCCGTCAGCACTCGCCTGCCGGGTGCTGTGCTGGGCACTTGGAGCTCGGGTTGTGCTCACTTTATCCTTACAACCCTGGGGACGGGAGCTGGCACTGTTTGGAGTATCCTCATTGCTAAAAGAGGAGAAAAACACCTGTTTTAAAGTCCTGCTCATTAGGCGTGCTATTTAATAATGGAGCCGAAGTGTTTTCCCAGGCTACTGCGGCCTTCTCAAAACTATTTAAAGCACATTATCTCAAGTGGGTGGACTCTAATTCAACCTTCTTAACATTTGAGAGCTATTACAGAGAACATCTCCGTTAATGTGCACATGAAAAGGGAGTGGCTCCCTTTTGGGTGGGTTTGTGGTGCAGGGGTGCGGCTCTGCGCTGTGCTGCTGCTCTCAACCAAGTCAAACTCATGGTTTGACCCGAGGCTCCAGGTTTCAGATGTTCCAAGGACATTTAGGTGGCCTTCCATTAAAGGGGAGTGACCAGGGAGTTGCAGAGTTTCAGACAGGACACCTTTGGAGAGGGATTGTGTTACCTTAGCTCCCTATGGAGTTTTTTCGGAAATGTTCCCCATCCCACAACATCCCTTGACACCTTGAGACTCTGCTCCCCCTTAGTTGTGACGAGGGTTGCCAGCCGATGGAGAAGCTGTTGGGTGCCACTCCGCACCGGCTTGCACATCCAGGGCCAGTCCGGTCCTGAGGAGCCCTGGGACTGACTCCCAGCCCCCCGAGGTGTGAGCTCTCCCGGGGGGACCGGTCTGATTTCATCCAACTGAACGCCGAGCCCCTCCTGCTTTCCCTTCTGGGTTTCCTGGGTTTTTGCCCAGTGGTCATCTTCACCTGCCCTTCCTTAAGGACGAGATTTCCAGGGTTAAGCAGTCCTGGCAAAGGGTTTCTGAGGAGCAGCAGTCTGATGCTGGGCACTCACAGAGCAGCCGCTCCCGGTCACGGCTCAGCAGAACAGGATGAAGCCCAGGCCTCCCTGGACCCCCACTGAACCCCACAACTCCCGAGCTCGGGTAACTGTGTTGCTTCAGTGCTCTGACCCTCGTGGATGCCAGGACAGTGGCCATTGTTCCTAGGCAGGGGCCTGTCTGCTGCAGCAACCCCTTCTGAAGGCAGTAACCGACCCGCCTGCTTCTTCCGGGCGGGCAAACACATGGGGTGCAGGCCCCTCGGGCGGGGGGTTTGACCTGCGGGCCCTCGGCTTGTGTGAAAATCACAGAAGCAGCTATGGAGTCATGTTTGGAACTTGCGTGAGTCTTCTAAGAGGAGAGTCTTTCTCCCTTTTTTCTCATCTAGAGGTGACCTGCAGCCCAGGGCGTCTGCCTCCAGCCTCCCCTTGGCCAGTCACAGCAGAAGTCACAAACATGGTCTCAAGCCCAAGGCCTCTTGGTACCAATCTGAGAGTGTAAGGGGTTGGGGGGTGGGAGGGCTCCTGAACACGCCATCCCAGTTACTGCCCTCCAGCGAGGGAAGCTGAAGTTCAGAAAGCAAAACCAGCTCGCTCCCCCGCGCAGCCAGGGCAGGGCAGGTGCAGGACGTGAACGCCAGCCGGTGCCTCCGGAGCGAGCACGTCTTCTACAGGGACACATTGCCACTCACGCGCTCCTCCCACATCCCAGGGACCCTCTTCTTTTTCTGGAACTCCGCCTCACAGCCCCCAACTGTCCCACAGGCCCAAGGAGTCAGAGGCGGCACAGTAGTCCAAAGTTGCCTTTAATAGGAGATACAAAAGTAGAAAAACCAGCTGAGGCTAAATAAGGGGAGATGGAGTGGGGAGGATGAGGGCAGGGCCACTCCTCCCTGCTAAGTCCCCCCATGTCCTGGTCCCTGTCCTGGAGGAAGGTCGGACAAGGGGAGGCGAGTGGTGGCCAGGTCTTCTCTGTTCCCTCCTACCCGAGCAGGCTGAGGCCACCAATGCCAGGAAGCTCGAGGAAGGAAAAGCATATGTGGAATTGGGGGGGAAGCACCAAAGCAGGTTCCCTGAGAGGCCAGGCTGTGGTGGCATCGCTCACACCACAGAGCAGCCCTCAGCTGGGGAGCTCAGAAGCCGGACCACATCTTCACGGCCCATGGCGGCCAGGGCGTCCTCCAGCACCCTGAGGGTGGCCCCGCTGCCTTCTTTGACGGCCCAGTCCCTCAGTAGGGTGTGGGCTGGCACCTGGCCCTGGGCCATGATCTCCACAGCGTCCGCGTGGTAGCCCAGGCGGCCGGCCAGGCCCTGCCAGCCCTGGTTGGGTTCGCCGGACACTTCCAGGAGCCGTTCCACTTCCTCTTGCTGCTGCCGAGGGAGATGAAGGTAGAGCCGGCAGCCAAGTTCAGGATGTGGCCCTGGGGTGGGAGACATGAGGGTCAGCTGGGCTGGGAGGTATGGCTGAGAGGGTCTGAAAGTCTGTAGATTGGGGAAGGAGGCTCACCCTGGCTCCCGGGCAGCTGGGGATTGTCCAGGAAGACAACGCTGTCCCCATGCCTCTGGTCCCTGTCGAGGGCCCCCAGCTCTGCAGTCCGAGCTTTGGCCAGCTGCTGTCTTTGTTTATGTGAGCGCCAGCTGTAGGGAGCAGGGGGGACCCGCCAACCTGTTCCAGCCTTCACTGAGACAGAGAGGGAGCTGGCTGGGAATCCAGATGGGGAGGGGTGCGCCACAGGGCAGTGCCCGCAGTACCTACCACTTGAAGGCCACATAGGCGAGCAGACCAAGGACCACCGTGGCCAGGAGGGCACAGTAGACGGGGATAATGCTGCCTGAGGCCCCTGGAGGCTCAGGGGGGAATGGGGAGGAGGTATTGGGGGCCAGAGCTCCCCCTACCCATACCCCTTCCCTGTCCCTGTCCTGCACCCTCCGGGTCTTATCTGTAGAGAAAAGGACAAACAGGATCAAGAGCACGAAAACAAGGCCAGGGCCCCAAGTAGCGGTCACTTAGACTTTGCTGCCAGAAAGGTTTGAACCAAGAGTCCCCACTTCACAGAATCAAAAATTCATACCACAGCATCAAGATTGGCTCATTATCCCATCCTCGTCTCCAACAGCCTCCTCTCTGCTCACCACTGTTAGACACCTAGCCCTTCCCGGGGGGTTCTCCTCCCAGGTGTCCAGACGTCTGCTCTTGCTGTTCGACCTTCTCCAACTGGCAGGTATCGCCTACTCTGGGAAGGCTTCCTTGATCTCTCCCAGTCTCTCCCTTTTCTGGCTCCTGCTCTGCCTCCTCTGTCTATGGCAGCATCACAGTGTGTGTCCTGTCTCTCCCACCATGTTTGGACCGTGAGAGCAAACTGATACATGTTGGTCCCCACGGGGGCTTCTGCACAGGAGACCTTGTAAAGTTTTACAAAATAAAGCTGAGCTAGAAGGCAAAAGAATGCTGCTGCTTCCTTCTGCCTGGAAACCAGTTATCTCCACGAGCCAGCGCAGGCAGGGCCTAGGGTACAGAGACTCTAAAGCTTGTGACTGGACCTGTGTGGGACCTAGCCACCTACCCAGTGCCCCAAATCTGGATCAAAAGACACTTACCCACATGCATCATGCCTTCCCTGTGGCTGGAGTTGTGAAGCATGGCTCTGCCGGCCAGCAGGGCTCCCAGGGACTGCATCTCCTGGAGAAGGGGTTGGAGTGTCATGCCAACACTCAGGCAAGGGAGCTGGGAGATGTCTTCTCTGAGTCCAAAATCCGCTATGTGTAGTGAGATGGGGGAAATTCTTCAGGCCAGATGCAGGGAGTCCCTTGGTGTTGGTGTCGTCTGTCTCCCTCTCCTGGCTCACTCCATCCTGATTGATTCCAGGGCTGGTTACCCACCCCGCCTCCCCAACCTCCCCATTCACCAACCTGGACCAGTTCCCTCCTCTGTCAGATGGGGTGGGGTAGACAGAGCTAGTCCCCACAGGCCAAAGCTGGAGGAGCCAGGGTGCAGCTCAGGATGGAGGAGAGCAGCTTGGAAACATTAGCAAACCCCTGGTCTGAGTCCAGGGATGGCGCGGGAAGACCACAGAGACTCTCATCCCCACCTCAATCAGAGCCAGGCTGGAGACTTGTTGGCAGGGTTGTGGGGGGGTCTCCCGGACTTCACAGCATGAGCCAGCGGAACCCAAGTCTCCAAGGCAGGGCTTCCTGTGACTACAGCCCCACTCCTGCCTCCAGGGTCAGGATCCAGCCCTCACCTCCTGCCCAGAAACTGGACAGGAAGTTTCCTTGGTGGCCCAGAGGCTCCCTGGTCCCTTCTCACCTGGGAATTCAGATGGCCTGGAGGCAAGAAACCTAAAGGACAGGACTACTTAGTCCCAGGACCCACCTGGACCTACAGGGCTGATCCTGCTGGAATCTGCTTCCTAAGGCCTGGATAAGAGAAGCCCCATCTGGGCTGAGAATGGATCTTGCCCAGAAAGGCACCGAAAAGAAACCTGGGGGCAGGCCCTCCACCTCCCCAACATCCACCACCACATCCGGCCTGGTCTCCAAACTCACTTCCCTGCCCAGTCAGCAAGTAGGTTTGGGACAGAGACTGCAGTGGTCCTTGCCACGAGTGAGGGTTATACATTTGTATCACTTACCACATAAGGGGCCCTTTCCTGGATCCTGGATGGCAGGTGGGCCTGTGACCAGCGCGCCTAGCCACGCCAGGCCTCTGTTTGCCCGACCCACCCTGAGCTGCGGGGCTGGAGCCCCCACCCCCACTCCCGCCTACATACACACACTCGTCTCCGGGCCACAAAATACGTCCACGCGTGCCAACACGGACGCCCGCACCACGACGGCCTACACCCGCAGAATCGCGGGCCTCGAGGTGGGGGACAGAAAAGCAGCCCCCGGCTCTCGGTCGGGGTAAGACCCCGGGCTCTATTCCCAACCCCCTCCTGACCTGCGGCAGCCGCCCCTCGTGTCTCCCAGGATCCACTCAGGCTGGCCAGACCCGCGCCTCTGCGCCGCCAGGCTCCCGTGGGCCAGCCGGGAAGGCTGCGTGCCGTCCCTGGGGAGACCAGCTCCGGCGAGGCGCGGAGCTGGGCGGGGCGGGCGGTCCCGGGAGCCAGCCCGAGCGCCCACGGAGGAGGGGCCTAGGCCGGAGCGCGGGGGCGCGCGGGGGGCGGGGCGGGGGGCGCGGCCGCCTGCGGCCCCACCCCGCGCAGGGGCGCGCACACGTGCGGAGGTGTCGCGAGGGAGCGCTGGGGACGAGAGAACGAGCCGCCGGGGAGGATCCGCGGGTGGGGTCCACGGGGACGAGGGCGGCGCGGCTGGGGAAACTAAGGCCACGAGGAGGGGGCGAATCGCCCGGGAGGGCTTCTGGGTCGGGGGAAGGCGAGCCCCGGCCGGGGGCCTGGGCAGGCGGAGACGCCGTGCGCACGCAGACTCGGAGGCGAAGCAGCTACAAAAGTAGGCCAGGTTTATTGCCGAGAGCGGGAGCGCGGAGGGCCGCTTTTAGAGATTAAGGCCACAGCCCGGCCCCTGCTCCACCGGGACGCGGGGTTTGGGAGCCTGGGCTCCCTCCCCACACTGTGCAAAAAGTGCTGTGCGGCCGCGGAGGCCAGTGCCACACTCCGGGCGGCCCCTCTGCCGGCGAGGGGCGGGACTTCCTGGAGTGAACCGCCCACCAATCCCTGAGCTGGGCGGGGGTGGGGTCCCGCCCACCCCCGGAGCCGGGCCGAGGGCCGCGGCGTGGTCTCCTCCTCCGGATTCCCGCCGACTCCTGGGCGGGGTCTCCATGGGCGGAGGCTGCTGGGGGCGGAGCCTGCGCGGTGGGGCGGGGCGGCTGTCAGCGCGCCTCTCCTGGGTTGTACTCCGTCTCCCCCGAGGACACCTGTGAGATGCGCCTGGAGGACCGCCACAGCTTCCGCGCGAACTGGCTGCTGCGCGCCTGGGGGTGGGGTGGGGGGATGTAGGATTGGGGAGAGGTGGGCCGGGACCGTCGCTCCCCACCCCAATCGAGGCCCGCCCTACCCTTATCCTCACCTCAGAGGGCTGCCCCGCTCCCACCACGATAAGCTTGCCGTCCTCAAGGCCCACGAGCACGTGGCTGCACTCCTTGGTCACAGCCACGCTGCGGATAGGCACCTTCATGGGTAGGGGAGGAGCAGCAGGGAGCAGCCTGCAGGGAGGGAGGGAGGGAGGGATCTGAACTCTCAGCTGCAAGGGAGCTTTGTGTCTTCTTTCTCCCGTGTTCCCCAACTCCCTCACGACCGTACCCTGTCTGCATTTGAGGGATGGCTTCACTGAAACCCTAAGACATAAAGGGACCTCCCACAGGTGTGTGGCTAAGGGAGGCCCAGGGCAAGATCAACCCACTGGAGGACAAGGGACAGGCCCTGAAGAATGTGCCCATGGACATATAAAGGTCATGGGTAGGCCCACTGTGGTGGAGGCAGAGAGATGGAGGGGGGCCTGGGAGGCTAACACCTTCTAGTATCCTCTGCCAAGGACTACCACCCTGCAGTTCCATGAATTCCAACAAAGCGGAACTCACTTGTTCAGGTGAAGGATGTGCAGGGCGCACTGGGCTGTGCCCAGCAGAACAAAGTCCTCTGTCACTGCCAGGGCTGTGGGCTGCTCGACCAGGGGCAATGAAGCCCGTAACTTCCCATTCACGGAGTACAGATGCAAGGAGTAGGTGACCTGGAAAAAGCAAGATGTGTCTGCAAGGACAGAATCCCAACTACCCTGTTCTTGGCCGAGCACCCCTTTTCCATACCTGAGCCCCTACACGCTCCCACGCTGAGCTCTGTACCACAATCTGGCCCTCAGACCCCAGCACCAGATGGGACACAGGTCCAGGTAACATGGCCCCTGGGGGCCGCAGCGCTGCCACAAATTGTCCACGACGTACGGTGTGGATGATCACAATTCCATCCTGCAGGAAGACAGCTTAGGGTGTGGAGCATAGGTCTCTTATCTCTGGGGGCACTGCCTAACAAACCCAGCCTCCCCTGGGCGCAGGCACACACACACACCTCAGATCCAGAAACAGCCATGTCGAGTTCGGTACTGATGGCCACACAGCTCACGGCAGCCTCATGCCCGTAGAGGACCTGCACGGGCTTTGATGCCAGTCCCACCGAGAAACCACCCTGTGGGGAGCCAGGGCCAGCTCAGGACTGGGGATACCTCACTGCCCTGGCCCGAGAAGGCTGAGGCTCCGGAAGGTGACCGCCTTGTGCAGAGCCAGAGCACTGGAGGGTTGTGGAGCCCCAGCCTTGCTCACAGTGGCAGAGAGAAGGGCAGGACTGCCAGTCAGCTGAGGGGTGGATGGGGGCTGCAGGTGTGGACTACGGGAGGGCCCCTGGGGCTGCCCACCAGCCCACCTCCTGCAGGAGCCGCCACACCATGCATGTGGTGTCCCGGGAGCCCGAGATGAGGTAGATGCCACAGGTGTCCAGTGCGAGGCAGGTCACTACATCTGCATGGGGAGGGGAGGGGGCAAGCAGAACGCAGCGGTCACCTCCTGCCTGGCCGACCAGCCTGCCCTGCATCCCCCACCCCAGCTCCGGGGCTGTGCGTACCCAGGTGGCAGTGGAGCTGTTTCAGCAGCTTGCCCCTCGGTAGTGCGGTCACTCGCAGGCTGCCGTCCCAGTGGCCACCACTGAACAGCAGCTTTCCATCGGGGGCCACTGCCAGAGCTTGCCCATTCACACCACGGTCTGGCACCCACGGACCGCTCAGCAGTCGTTGCATCCTGACCCAGTGCGGGGCGGGGAGGGGTCGGGGACAGGGCAGGTGAGGCCAGGCTGACATAGAAGACCCGGGCCCTCAGAGACCTCAGCTGGTCCCTGACTGGGTGGGGCACCAGCTCGGGGGTACGGGGCATTGAGAGCCCACCCTTGCCCACTTCCCTCTGTCCTACTTGGGGTTGCCTATGGTGGCGTCTTTGCTGAAGCTGAAGTAGTTGTTTATGTTCCGGTCATAGGGCAGCCAGCTGTGGATGCCCAGCAGCCCAGTGGCGCTCACGGTCACCTGGGGGCCAGAGGGGGCAGAAGTGGGGCAGTGGAGGGCGGAGTTGGAGCAGGAGTGGAACTGAGCTGGGGGCTGTGCGGTGCACTTACCAACAGGTCTGAGGAGCCCTGGATGGTAAAGGAGTGGGACTGCCGGTGGGGGACTAGGGCCAGCACCAGGGGCACGCCATCACTGATGACCTGCGGAGCAGAGCACAGAGCTGGCTCTGCCTCAGTGCTCAGCCGGAAACCCCACTCTCCTGCCTGCCACCTGGGGCACCATTCTTTCCTCTCCTCTCATCCCTAGTGCTCACAGACTAGGGGGTCACAGAGGCAGAGGTCCCTCTGCGACACAGTCGGGAGAGCTCAGTGGGCCTTCAGGAGGATATCTCCAAAAGTGAGGGAGTGACAAGCCGGGATGGACAAGACAGCTCTCTCAGTCTTGACCTTGGTCCTCCCAGCCTCTGACTTCATGTTCCCAGCCTGCTGGCAGGAGGGGAGGGGAAACTAAAAAGGTCAGGTCTGGGGGGGCCTTCTCATGGAGGGATTCCATCTCAGAGGATTGTGAGGGAAATGATTCACGGCCAGATGGCCTTCCTTCTGGTCTCCCTAAGGTTTTCAGAGATGGTTAGGGGCTCAACAACTTGTCCCGGCCGCGGCAAAGAAGGCGCCCCCATCCCTGCTCCCCTGTCCCTCTCCCGTTACCTCTTTTTCAAAGATGGCTAACATCAGTGACCTTGATTTAGGTTTTCCATCTACCCCCAAGAGGTTGGTAAGGGACAGTGGTGTTAAACCCATTGCACAGAGCAGGACGATAAAGCTCTGCCTCCCCTCACCTCCGCAAAGAAGGCCTTGAGCTGGTCCAGGTGCTGGAAGATGCTAGGTGAGTTAGTGTCCAGACGTGCAAGGCGCTGGGCTGCTTCCTCGGCGGAGAGCCGAGCTGGATGTGGCTCCTATGGACGAGTGACTGGTCAGCACCGCGGCATGGGCATCCCTGACCACGATCCTTTGAGCTGGCCTCACCTTTAGCAGCTGACAAGGAGTCTGCCCGAAATTACTGATGATGCCCTCCAGAGCCTTCCGTTCCCGCTCATCCACCACGTGGTCCAGGTCCACGGCCCCTGGGTAAGGCAGGCAG